ATTGGTAGTAAATGGTTGAGGGATTGCAGAGAAAAGCTGAAAATGTTCGAATGCTAACGCACAATGCACAGCGCACAACGCAAGAAAAAAAAAACAGAGAGCAATAAGTCACAAGAGTTGATTCAGGTGACCAAATAAGGAGTCCATTGGACTCAATATTTATGTAAAATATAAGGTGTCTTCTGGTCTCCCTGTTGACTTACAATATAAAGTGACCTCTGGTCTTATTGATGTAAAATATAACGTGTCTTCCGGTTTCTTCATTGTTGTTCAAAATAGTGTGATCATTAGTTTTATTGATGTACAATATAAAGTGACCTCTTGTCCCCCTACTGTTAATAATAAATATATAACAATAAATAATGTCCTGAACTCTATGACATACAATATTGATATCATATGGCATTAAGCTTGACTTTCTCTTATTATTGAACTTTAATGAATTTAAAACAGTTTATGTGACCACTTTTCATCACATAGTTTCATTGTGAGAAGCTGGAAAACAAGGGCTATTCAAGAAATCGCATTAAAAATGAATGGTAAAGAATAAGTAAACTAGAGTAAAATTAAACGCTTTATTACAGCTGCTGCAGAAGTTGTTAAGAATCCTAAAGAAATATTCACTGAAATATATAAAATTTATATCAACCAATGTCTGATTTATAGTTTATAGACAATTGAGCAGGTGGATTTCAATGATAAAAATTATATAATGGCATCAAAAAATGGAAACCGTCCTTGCAAACAAAAAATTTAACAACTAATGTACTGTTTGCCAAGTTTCAACAAATAATCACTGATGGTGTATGATTGACTATACGACACAAAGCAAATTTGATAGACATCATTTCGGGAGTAGTTCACACTGTTTTAAAGAAAAGTTTGACAGTTAAAAAAAGCTTAGTACTCAAAAGTCACCTAATTTTTTTTTTTAAAATGAGTGAAAACGAATGCGTGTAAGAATATCTAAACAATTATTTAAAATATGAGTAACTGTAGTTATTCACTTTTGTTTGAATTTCAAACAGATAATGAAACTTCAATCTTTTGCTTAAAACCCTCAAAACAAAATTTACAATAAGTAAATGTACTTGACAAAAACAGCAAAGGTCTGAGAAGAGCAGAGAATTGCAAGAGCACAAATACAGATTTATATGCAATTTTCTTAAATATTAGTGGTTTTGTTGTTTATATTCGTATTCGAGGAGGCAGTTTAAATGCTGGAGGAATCTAGAAAGTAATTTTTTGCAAAAAAAAATCAAAAGGTTGATGAGAATCAAAAATCCACTATATTAGATTTTTTCATGAGAGCGTCCAAACCCGCACGCCATGAAGAGTAGAAAAATCTTGGGGATAAACAGAAAGTTAGTGTTCTTTCACATTAACAATAATCGCTAGATCTTTCACCTTTGACTTGTTTCGTTTTCCAAACTTGAAAAAACCTTTCAGAAAAAAATGAACAAGTCCAGGAAGTCATAGGATCTGCCATAATACAGATACAAAAGGTCATACCCAAAATGAGTTCTAAAAACAATCAGAAATTAATTGGATAAAAAATGTAACGGACATGTGTTTTAATTAAAAGATAATATTAGGTTAAATCATTATGACTAAATTATTGAAAAGCGTCTTTTGTTTTTTTCCAAGACCCGAGGACATTATTTATTGAACAGCCCTCGTATAATGTGACCTCTGGTCTCCTTATTGATGTTCAATGTAAGGTGACCTCTGGTCCCCCAACTGATGTATAATATAACGTGCCCTCAGGTTCCACTTATGATGTGCAATTAAAGGTTACATTTGGCACCCTACTGATGTACAATATAAGGTGTCCTCTGGTCTTCTTATTGATGTTCAATATAAGGTGTCCTCTAATGTCCCTTCTGATGTACAATATAAGGTTACCTCTGGTCCCCCTACTGATGCACAATACATGTATAAGGTAACCTGTGGTCTCCTTATTGATGTTCAATATAAGGTGACCTCTAGTCCCCTACTGATGTTCAATATAAGGTGTCCTCTGGTCCCCCCCCCCCCACTGATGTAAAATATAAGGTGACCTCTCGTCCCCCTACCGATGTACAATATAAAGTGATCTCTGTTCTCTTTATTGATGTATAATATAAGGTTTCCTCTGGTCCCCCTACTGATGTACAATGCAAGGTGACCTCTGGTCCCCCTACTGATGTACAATATAAGGTGTCCTCTCGTCCCCAAAATGATATACAATATAAGGTAACCTCTAGTCCCCTACTGATGTACAATATATGGTGACCTCTAGTCCCCCTACTGATGTTCAATGTAAGGTGTCCTCTGGTCCCCCTACTGATGTACAATATAGGTGACTTCTGGTCTCCTTATTGATGTTCAATATAAGATGTCCCCTGGTCCCCCTATTGATTTACAATATAAGATGACATCTGGTCCACCTACTGATGTACAATATAAGGTGACTTCTGGTCTCCTTATTGATGTACTTTAAAATATAAGGTGACCACTGGTCCCCGTACTGATGCACAATATAAGGTGTCCTGTGGTCCCCCTACTGATGTAAAATATAAGGTGACCTCTAGTCCCCCTACCGATGTACAATATAAAGTGATCTCTGTTCTCTTTATTGATGTACAATATAAGGTTTCCTCTGGTTACCCTAATGATGAACAATATAAGGTTTCCTCTGGTCCCCCTACTGATGTACAGTATAAGGTTTCCTCTGGTCCCCCTACTGATGTACAATATAAGGTGTCCTCTGGTCCCCCTACTGATGTAAAATACATGTATAAGGTGACTTCTGGTCTCCTATTTGATGTTCAATATAAGGTGTCTTCTAGTCCCCGTACTGATGTACAATGCATGTATAAGGTGACCTCTGGTCTCCTTATTGATGTTCAATATAAGGTGACCTCTTGTCCCCCTACTGATGTACAATATAAGGTGTCCTCTGGTCCCCCTACTTATGTACAATATAAGGTGACCTCTGGTCCCCCTACTGATGTACAATATAAGGTCACCTCAGGTCCCCCTTATGAAGTGAAATTATAGGTTACCTTTGGCCCCCTATTAAATTAAAATGAAAGATGACCTATGATCCCTCTAATGATGTACAATATAACAATAGGGTAAGGTGACCACTGGTCTCCCTTCTGATGGACAGTATAATATAAAGTTACCTCTGGTCCCCCTAATTACTAAACGTTTCTGCTAATATATTAGAAGAAGATCTGTATGAAGTTATAAAATAATATTATTATTTTGGAGTAAGACAAAGAAAACTGTCTACCATATAAAATTCAATTAATATATAAGGTGACCTGAGGTCTCCGTATTGATATCGATGATTTTACTTTTGTGCCTTTAATGCCTGAAGAGTTCCTTAAATGTTTTATTACTACGCAAAATGGCGAACTATTTGCGGGGGACCTGAGGTCCTAGTTGAGCGTACGTTTTATCCTTCTGCCCAAAAGATACTCGTTGGATCGATTTACTGATAGGTCGGACCAAAACAATGTCGGACTATAACAAACTCGGACTATAACAAACTCGGACTACACAAAGCCGGACCATAACAAACTCGGACCATAGATTAAATTTACTATATTTAATATAATTATGTTTACTAATTAATTAAGTTATATATTTTTCAAATATTTGAACCAAAAAAAATATTTTGCACTTTCTATGGTTAACAGTTATAAACACCTGCAGAGAAAATCTACACGCCCGCCTTGCTATTTACTATTTTTAAACACCAAATAAATTTCTTTCGTTACAGAGATACATGAGTTTTATATAGGCCATTTAGATACGTATAACCAGACGAAAGCAATTTTGAGAGCACAATTTTTAGTGTGTATTGCTTTTACAGATTTCCTATGTCGTTGAGAATGCCTGTCGAGAAAATTTAAACGCCTGGTTATTTTTTTTTAATTATATTGATTTTATTTAATATATTTATTTTTATATAGTATTTAGTAGACAAATAAATAATAAAAAATGAGAAAAAATATTATTTAACGCATCTATTAATCTTATCTTATAAGTCTGCAGTAATATTAAAAGAGATCATTACTCTTACTAGACTATACCTTTCCTCTGTAAGAAGATTTGGACTATTATTTTCATAGATGATGTAGTTAATGTTTTTAAGTTAAAAAATATAATGAATAATTGATTTCATTTTCGATTTTAAATTTACTAAACCAGTAAGTAAATGTAAAGAAAAATACAATGATGATAAATAATTTAATATTTACCGAGACGTAAGATTGATTGTTGGTTGGTTGGGGGGAAGGGGGGGGGGGTAAATTAAGTTACTTTTTTGCATCCAAATATTCTTTTAAAGTAATTTATCTACTAATATATTTAATAAAAAAAATTAGGAAAATAACATGACAGGTACATACATTTTCTCAGCAGGCGTATTCTACAACTTATACTTTAAATTGTAAAATGGATAAAAAATAAGAAAAAAAGTCTTTTAAAATTGTTTTAATTGGTAAAACATACATATCTATAGTCTTCAACTTAATATATCTAACAAAATACAAATTAATTTCATATTCAACACAGGGATCTGTTATTACTACACACACACATATATATATATATATATATATATATATATATATATATATATATATATATATATATATATATATATATATACACGATAGTCCGAGTTTGTTATAGTCCAACTTCGGTTTGGTCCGAGTTTGTTATAGTCCGACATTGTTATGGTCCGACTTATCTGTCAGCGGTTGGATCCGCCACATAATTGCTTAAACCATTTACGAAACTGAGCGATAATTTTTATTTATTGAATCCAATATTATTCTGTCATAAATTATCTAGCTATTAAATTTATATATGAATGTTAAACTTATAATGCAAGACACGACAAATAAAATTCGAAAGTTTGTCTGCAGGATATCAAATGACACTCGCTATCGGATTGCCTCGCATATTGCCGTTGCTTGTGCAGGAATGTGTAGAGGCAATCCGATCGGGGGCACTGTGAGTGTGCACTTCCGCTTTTCTTTTCACAACAAAAACACGACACAGATGATCTCATTGAGTGCCGTCAGCTGACCAAATGGGACCGTATCCAGGAGCAGATTCAGACGACACGTTTGACTATTTATTCAAGATTGTGTTGATAGGGGATGCGGGGGTCGGGAAGACGTGCGTGGTCCAGAGGTTCAAATCAGGGACATACGTGGAGAAACATGGCTCGACGATTGGGGTCGACTTCACCATGAAAACTTTACAGATAGACGGAAAGCTGATAAAGGTATCGGAACAAACATGAAACAACATACATATTGTATATATCTGCTTTTTACTTGTTTTCTTTAAGAATCTGTGTTGAACATAATGGTCACAGAAAAAAAAATCAGACATCATCAGTAGCATTATTTTGGGTCCTTTATCTGTCAGCTGGCTGTAATGTCTACAGTATCACTTACGTCTTCCTCATCTACCTGCTGACTAAACTGAATGTTCATACAAGTTTGTCTTTGAGGGAGTTGTTTTTTCATAACATACAGGGTGATTGGAAAATAAAGTTTGTACCCTGGTCGAAAATCCCCAGAATATTCTAGTACCAGGTCCAGGACAATACCCTGATAAAGGTATATGGTTTGATAAAGCTATATAGCTTGATCAAGGTATAACAAATACCTTGATCAAGGTATTTTATGTAATGAATATGCAAAAAAAAAAAAAAAAAAAAAAAAAAAAAACAAAACAAAGACTGAAAGTTGAGGTCTGAGTTGTTGTCTGTAAATTGACTCGTGCATGTAAAGTACTCGAACACAAAGAAATCGATATAAAAGCATGTCGTGTGAGGAGACATTCTTTTATGCTAGCTGTCTTTTTGATACCTGAGTACTTTTCATGCACGAGTGAACACACTGACCACAACTCATAATTTGACTTTTAAATTTAATTTTTTAAGAATTTTTTTGTATTTACTGTACATAAAATAAGGTACATGAGTTCAAAGTTGAAAATGATCACTGCATCACAATGATATTTGTAATACCTTGATAAAGCTATATACCTTTATCAGGGTATTGTGCTGGACATGAGTACAGGCATGGACCTACATGAATATATGTACACACTAGTACATGTGTAGTCCCTTGATACTGTAAAATCACATATTTTCGTGGGTGAAATTTTCATAGCTTAATGAAAGACTCATGGTTTTTGAAGGTTTTATTTTGTGGATGAAGAATCGTTAAGTAGTTCATTCTGTATTTAACATTTTACATTTTGTGGTGGACATAAATTCATGGGTCTCTTCATACCTCGAAAATTGAACCCACACAGAAATTTGTGATTACATGTAAAAGCATATAGTTACATTTAATATAACTTAGCTATTATAGCAAATTACCTTTCTTTGGAAAGATCCTCAATGGCTACCATATAGATATATCTTATACTTAGCAGAAAAGTTTTAAAACACTTCAAGTAATATAAAAAAAATAGGGAAAGTGCTCAAAGTAGCACTGAAAATGACCACTAGTTAATAAGAACAAATTGTTTTGGATTGAATAATACCTTCCACCTTAAGAATGTATCCATACAAGACAAAGATGAACTCACTATACGAGAGTTTTTTGACTGCTTAAAACTATTCTGCCATGTTGATACTTGGAACACGTACCCCAATTATCATTCAAAGGAGATCTGAGGGGTTTTTTAGGGGGTGGGTCAACCCCATTAAAAAAAATTCAACCCAGAAATTTCTGGGGAAAAAAATAGAAACTTATCTTCCAAATGTGCAAAACCTATCTCAAGGGGTTTGGGAGGAGGGGGGGGGGGTGTTCCATCTAAAGTCCATTATAAAACTTCAATTCCAGGGGCCCCTCCTCTAGATCTGAAATAGAAGAAGTCAGACTTATCTGACTGTTATATTTTTCTCACTGAACTGCCAATACCTCGAACATGTTGAGCATATTCAATTCAGTGTAGGATGGATGGGAGGTTACGGAAGCCTAAATGTGATCAATAGCTAAAGGGAACACGATGGGAGAGTAAATGTAAACATGTGGTGTAGTGTATAACAAACAGGGTCTGAATATACAATTCCATAATTTTAGCTCCAAATTTGGGATACAGCAGGACAGGAGAGGTTTCGAACCATCACTCAGAGTTACTACCGCAGTGCCAATGGTGTAATTATAGCTTATGACATCACAAAGAAGGCTTCATTTGAGAGTGTGCCGCGGTGGATTGAAGATGTAAAGAGATATGCAGGACCTAACATTGTACAGTGTATCATTGGTGAGTACTATGTAACATTGTAGTGAGTACCGTGTGTACCATATGTGGATACTACCAAAACAGTTCTTGAGATTTGCAGCAAAGGAAGAACTCATAAAGACCAAACATGCTCATTATTTTAGATAGAGTTACACATTAATACCTTCATATTTTGTTTGACAAGTTGGTAGAGCCTTTGCTTAATGATCAGGCCCAGGGGGACATAAAACTTAGACGAGCTCACTTTTAATCTCAGTCTCACTAATCCACTATATATTCCTTTAGTAAAAGTAAGACTGAGATCAATAGTGAGCTTGTCCAAGTTTTATGGCCCCCAGGCCTGGAGGTCTTGAGTTGGAATCTCAGCTGCAATTGACCTAAGTAGATAAAAAATGGGTAGCAACTGTTTGATCCTTTGCGATCGGCACTTGAAGTATGCAGGTCCTTCTGATGAGACCTTAAGGACTGGTGTCTCCTGTCATGGTAGGCATTGGCATGATAAAGATCCCTCACTGCTTAATGGCCCTGAGTGCCAAGCATAGGTCTAAATTAAAGCCCTTCAGCATTATAAGAGTATGGTGACGTCTCTACATGCATGGGTGAAAAATTCTTGATTTGGACGTAAAACAGCATACAATCAATCAATCATATTTTGTTTGATATTGATCCGATTCTTTAACAGAAGTTAGGTAGGTAGGATAAGTGTCTGAAAAAGAATCTCAAATCTATCATTTATCCTTTAAATTCATACACTAGTATAACATGTTTTACTAAGGGGGACATAACTTTCCAAGTAATGAGGGAGTTATATCAGTTGTAAGAGTTAATGATCTTTGTTCTCAAGTTACTTTTTTCTTTTGAAAAATATATAAATTACCACAATGTTATTTTTTCATATTTATTATATTCATATCTTTTCAATCTTTAGGAGATAATTTCAAAAACAAAAAAAAATTTCAACCTCTGCTGCACCTTGGGGTGAAAATTTCACTCAACCACAGTCAATATTTATTATATTATACTGAATGTTTTATGCAAATAGATATATTTATATATAATTTAAGTTAAGTTGTAACACGTCATTTGATTGGTTAAACGGTTTTATCCATTTCGTATAACATAACTTGCCTACGTCACAATGAGTTACGTCAAAAACATATTACTCCGCTTGACATTATTTTAAAATAATGCTCAATTTGAAGCCCTTTTCCGGAGGAAATGTTGTCTCATTGTCTACACTGAAATTAAATTATAAGAAATGAAGCTTATTTCAACTTATGTTATCCGATATAACAAAACTTGGGGCAGTTTACGCTTTCTTATAAACCGCTTCACGGTTTATAAAGCGTAAACTGCCCCAAGTTATGTTATATCGGATAACATAAGTTGAAATAAGCATCATTCCTTAGATAGATATATTTATAGTGAACCTTGTGTACATATCTTCCACACAGTCATGGACAAGGGTTTTTAAAAATTATCAACGTTACACTCAGCTGCGTGCAGTATTTATATAATGTACTTTGTTATGAAAAATTTGGATGTCAATTTCATAACTGATATTTCAGCACCTGCTATTCCTTGACATTTAAGAATTAAATTCCACCTTAAAACACGAAACTGAAAATTTTTATTCTAAAGACATGTATAATTGGTTTCATATCATATCTTAATATTAATATTGTTCTGATATTAAAATGCCATGTTTTTATGTACTGTATGGATTTACACAGAAACTGTCAGGTCAGGCTCATATTAATAAAATTCTTTAATGTCAAAAAATGTTACCAGTGGTCATTAAATCTCGGGAGAACCGGAGGTGTTAATTAAGTACCGCATCAGTTTTATACCCTATATGTACTGGCTGATGTAGTCTCGATATTTTGAAATAAATGTAGGACTTCGTATCACACTGTTATATCATTATTCTACCAAAATAATCTTGTAATCTTTTGGTTTGACATTTATTAGTATGAGAGTGGGTGCTGATAGCATAAAATTTTCTCTTCTGAAGAAGAATGAATTGAACCTTTGAACTTGAAGGCAGAGAAAGTTTTCTTTTATGGAACATACTTATGTAAAACAATTCATTTTTATAACTTATATAATTCAATTTCTTAAAGTGAAATTAGTTCAAGGCATGACTCCAAGTAAAGAAAGGAATTTTATATAATCACTTTAAAATCATAAAAATTAATGTTGAAATTTTTTTTTAATTATTGCAATGAGAGACATAATATGGAGGAAAAGCCTTTTAAATAATGACATATCTTTGAAATTCTTCCTGAAATTGCTTGGATTTTAAGCCTGGACAGAATTTTCTGCAGACATTTTTACATGAAATTCAATGAATTTTGACAAAATTGCAGAAAGTTATCTCTCTTATCAGAGGAATATTACACCTTAATTTACAATGACTCTAGACATTTATTATAAATTTTTTTTTTAATTTTTTTAAACTCTGCCTTTTTACTCACAAACTGAATAAAAGTGCGAAGCACTTTTATGTAAAGTTTGTGATAAAAAGGCAGAGTTTACACATGGATAAAGGAAAAAAACGTTTAATTCTTATAATTCCAATTACGAATTTTTTAAATCATTAAAATTATTTCCCTTTGAGGCCGCCATACAATCCGTTATTTTGTACGGCGTAGGAATACTTTATGTCGCAAAGAAACGTATACAAGATGAATATCGATAAAATCCATCTTAAATTGTCAAAACAATCAATAAATAAGCTTAAAAAAACTCATTGAATGTTGTTTAAGTCAACAAATATCGTAAATACGCGTATTCTCCAGAATAATTCGTCCTTGACCATGGCCATGTTGACATTTTTAAAACAACAACGTCATAACGAAAGATGCAGACCGACGACGTCCTCGATTTGCTCTGGTTCGGTCAAAGATTTGGGGAGAATATGGGATTGTAGGATGTAAACATATGAAATGCTAAAAAGGCAAGAAGGTACGTTTCTTTTCCCTATCACAACGATAGGCCTACCAGCTGAGCTGATATGGAACGTCGAGAAAATGACAGCATGATCAGGGATTTTTTAAAATTCACACTCGTGATCCGACAGCGACATAAACATAATATTCCCGTCTGTCAGTCCTGTTTATCTCCTTTTCATTCATTCATTCGATCATTCATTCATTCTTTCATTCATTTTTATTTCAAGTTTCTTGTAATCATAATTTAGCTAAAACGGACTACTTAAAGTAGTTCTAATTGAAGAATTCATCGATGTGTAAACTTTTTCTTGAATTTGTTTTCGTCCAATCAAAACACAGGGAATCAATAAATAAAATTAAGATTGGAATTATTAACCTTTTACAGATTTACATTTACAGTTTTGTATAAATTGTTTATAGATTTGAGATCGTCCACTGTTAATCATCGTCACCTATTTCATTCCAAATGACGATTTTTTTTCTTTTTAACAGGAAACAAAAAAGACATGGAACATCTGCGAGAAGTGAATTTGTCGGAAGCGAAGGCCTTTGCTCAACATCACGGCATGATCGACGCCATAGAAACAAGTGCCAAAGAGAACACTAATATAGAAGAACTGTTTACAGAAATGGCAAAGGTAAACTTTACAGACACAAATGCCAAAGAAATGGCAAAGTTGACGTTAGCTGATGTGCTGAATAGCTGATATGCTGAATAGGTAATGTAGGTATTATTGGCTCACCTCAGCTTTTCTGATCAAAATTTGTACGTTGTTGTTGTTGTTGTTGTTGTTGTTGTCGTAAACTTTTCACATTTTCATCTTCTTCTCAAGAACCACTAGCCAATTTCAACCAAACTTGCCACAAAGTATCCTTGGGTAAAGTTTGTTCAAATGAAGGGCCAAGCCCTCTTCCAAGGGGAGATAATTATGAATTAATGAAAAATTAAGGGCTTCTTATTAAATCTTCTTCTCCAGAACCACTGGGCCAGGAAAAATGAAACTCATGTAGAAGAATCCTCAGGTGATCAAATCAATACCCCAGGGGATTGGGCGGGGCGATAATGGCTGATCAAATTTTTATTTAGGAATATATAGGAAAAATCTTTAAAAATCTTCTTCTCCAGAACCACTGGACTAGAAAAGATGAAACACATGTGGAATCATCCTCAGGTAGTGTAGATTCAAGTTTGTCCAAATCATGACCCCCGGGGATAGGACAGGGCCATAATGGCTGAACAAAGTTTTACCTAGGAATATGTAGGAAAAAAATCTTTTCCAGAAACACTGGACCAGGAAAGATGAAACTTACGTGGAAGCATCCTCAGGTAGTGTAAAATCAAGTTTGTTCAAATCATGACCCAGAGGATAGGGTGGGGCCACAATGGTTGATCAAAGTTTTACATAGGAATATGTAGGTAAAATCTTTGAAAATCTTCTCTCCAGAATCAGATATCCTGGTGAGGGGGAGGGTGTTAGTGAGGGGTCACAATGGGAGATCAAGTGATAGGTTGGAAAAATCCTTAAAAATCTTTTCCAGTATGGCAAAGTTATACTTGTTTGCTTTATTGATATAGTTACATTCTAAAGTAATAGAAAAATTCAAATCCTGCCTCCCCCAACAAGTAAACTTTTCAAAACTGAGTCGATTTGTGTTTTTTAGCTAGCCCATGTGCTCAGGTGAGCGACGTGGCCCATGGGCCTCTTGTTATAATACAATTTATTATTTGAGAGTAATTTTGAAAGCCTCTAATTGATTGGTTAAGAATATACCTCACATATCATGTACTTATAGTCCCGATTTACAAAAGTATAGAGCACTTTATAATTTATCCTTTAAGGACAATCCAGATAGTCCAACTGCATTGTGAAAAAAAAATTTTGGTTTTAGTTCTTGAAGATTTGGAGTATAAACTAACATGGGTGAAAATTATAATTTTCCCTAATCTTTTAAATTATGTAAACGTACTTACAGCAGTGTACACTGTACAGCAACAAGTCATCATTTCATGGAATTACAATTTTAGTTCAATCCATTGTTAGAAAAAGAAGCAGATTTTTATGCCCCCCGCTTGAAAAGTGGGAGTGTATATAGTAATCGGGATTTCCGTATGTCCGTCTGTACGTCCATCCGTCTGTTACGCTTTATCTCTTATCCGCAACTCCTCTTATACTATTGAATGAAATTTAATGAAACTTTCACAGAATCTTTATTACATATTGCCATTGTGCACCTCCTATTTTACTTTTTTATTCGACACGTATTTTAGGTTTCCCATAGCAAAACATGGACATTGCCATTATATGTTTACCTATGACGTCACATATAGAAGCTTCTGGATAACATTTGATAGGACAAGTTATTCCTCTTTACACATTACTGTAAAACAATATATAGCAACACATGGACATTATGGGAGGCGGGGGTATCATTTAGTGAGCTCATTGCTCACAGTACCTCTAGTTTTTTTTTAATAGATTGCCTATTTATGCCTTTAATGTAATTTGAGTATGAAAGGATGATTTTTTTTTGGTTGAAAAATTATGACATTGCACATATTACAAATGAATTATTACAATGTTAAAAAAATTCTTCCAATGACAGTATCACAATTCTTTTTTCATTTTTTTTTGTTAGCTAGGGAACACATTGAAAGGCAAAAACATCAAATTAACAGTAATTTTGGGGGATGGTGGCTGTATATTTGAAATCATGGGTGTCAAATATAATAAGCGGGTGAAAATGTTGGCTAGACTAGGACTCAAACATGCAACTTTTCACTAAAGGCAAGAGTTCTTTACCACTGAGCTACCGTACCTACATACCCAATCCCCATTACAATAGGAAAAAAAATGGGTAAAATTTCTCTGATGTTAACTCTTGGTTTACAACTCAGCATCTCTTGGTTAACTTGTCACATTTTTCTGCAGTGATTATGATTCTTAAACAATTCAAATTTAAAATATTTACATTCAGTGTAATGATCCTTATGAAATCCATTAGAAATCTACAACATTCAAATTTCTATAACACGCGCAAAACCTTGTCACCGCGCATTAGAATACACAGTAGGAACTATATGCATTTTCAATACTCTGGGAACACCAAAATGTAAAATGTCTTATTTCAATTTAATGAAAAACTATAATCCTGAAAAATTAACTTAAAAAATAATGTAACATGCGTTATGAATTAATTTGTCATTTTTTTTTCTCGCAATGTTTGTTTGCGTAATTTAAATTTGCAACGTCATTTAACGTCATTTGACGTCACAAACGGCTCTTACATCTATTAACCACGTCAGTTTTGAAAGGCGCTAAATTCACATTCAAGATTAACAAAATCAGTAATTTTGAAGCAGGAAAATTAGAGAATGTAAATATAAGCATTGAATTCATATTTTTGGCTGTCTTCGGTCCTATAACACACCTGGCCGTGCCGACAAATTTATCATACCGCGCTAACGCGCGGTATTCAATTTGTCGGAACGGCCAGGTGTGTTATAGGACTGAAGACAGCCAAAAATATGAATTCAATGCTTAATTGGAATGCCAATACTTTTAGCGTTCAGCTTGCAAAATTTTACAGAATTTGGGTTTAAGGAGAATTATGATGATTTTTTTCGGGATCAGGTGTATTTTCTTTAAGAGGGCAGTCTTACATGCATATCATCTCCTTTATCCAAAAAAAAAGATTCTTGAAAAATCAAAATGTTGTAGAATCATATTATTTTTTGACCTTACATCAAAATCTTGGCATATTGCATTGACAAGAGTAAGAAATAGTAATTAATTGCCTACAAACCTCTAAAGGTTAGATGTAAGATTTGAACTGGAATAGGAAACAATTACAAAAAATTATACTTTTGAGGAAAAATTTTAATTAATAGGAAAATAAATTCACAAAATAATAGGTATGATTTGAACTAAAAGAGGAAAAGATCAGAAAAAATTATGCAAAAATTTATATAATTATACCGTGAAATCACACAAATTTTTATGGGGGTTTAATTTTCATTGTTTTCGAGGTGTGAAGAGACCCAGGAATTCATGTCCATCACGGAATGTAAAATGTTACATACATAACTACTCAACAATTCTTCATCCACGAATTCAAATCCACGAATTCAAATCCCCATGAACCAAGAGGTTTTTACTCAAACCACAAAAATTTGACCCAACGAAAGTATGTGATTTAACAGGACAAGGTAGAACCTTAGATAACAAAGTTGTGAAGAAAAATTTTACATAAGAAGATAAAAGCTGAATCAGTTGTTGATTTCATAAACATCCAGTTCCTGCAATAATCAAGTCAGAAAATTGTAATTCCAGGGCCGGTTTTACAAAAGAACTTACAGCTAGTACCAAAAATAAATTCTGTATATATAACTTTCTTATTAACATAATATTGAAAATGATTTTAATCTTTTTGTTAAGGAATGTAGTAAGGTATTTTACACCTGGTCCAGCAATTTTAAACAGAATCACTAATTTTGAAAATGTTGACAATCAGTTAAAGTTTTAGGTATTATTTCCTTAGTCCTGTGTAAAACAGACCTTGATCTGCCTGCGCTGCCTGGATCATCAGTCTGACAGATGTCCATGACTGAGTGAACACTGCTCACCTGATTTTTCTTACACCAATGACACTGATTTAGGACAGACATTCTGCAGTCTGTTGTGATATCAACTTTAGTTTCCTGATTTGATGGAACATTCCACTTTATCAAGAGGAAACTTTCCCATCATAATTCACTTTTAATGGAAATAAAACTTCTTTATACAAAAGGAAATAAGTTTAGGTTAATTTTGCTATCTGCAATTTGAATTTTAGACATTCATTCATTTTAGACATAAAAGAATCGCTCTCTCATGCATGGATGCTCAGCTGTCATAATTTCACACTATTGTCAACTCTCTTTAACTTGTTAGTATGTCTTGCATGCAATATTTTATGTGTATTTGCTGTTTTGGAACTTGATATAATGATTTTTTTATTTGATTCATTTTTTTATAAATATTGAAATTTTTATTGAGAATTAAAATCTCAATTGCACAAGAAATTTATTTCAGTGATTAATTTAAACATTCATATAAAACAAATAAAATTTCTATCAAACATGTAAATTTTTTTTTTAAGAAATAAGGATTTAAATGTGCTTTTCTAAAATTCAATGTTTACTAATTTTGTAATAATTAAATATTAATTCCATAACAAAACTTGCGTAGATAATTGTTTTCTTGGAAAAGTGCCAATGGATATTACTTATTGAACCTTTATATAACAATTATAATTATATTCATACGAACATAAAAAAAACGTAGCTGTTTTTTTGATAAATCTTCCTTGTAACCATTATGATGGTAATATTTAAAGAAATACTTTACACAAAAAATAAGTATTATGCGGCAGAAATAACATAGAGATAAGTAAAAATGCTATTTCATATAAATTATGTACATTCTACTGGAGTTTTCCAGTATTTTGAGCATGTTAAAATAAAGAAAACAAATTGGTTTGATCTTGCATTTACAGAAAACAACATGCTCTTAAAATTAGCTTTATTTTTACTTGTTTCACCAATAAACAATTGAGATGAAGCAAAAATAAGAGAATTGTTTGAGATGTGTGATATGTAAAAATTACTATTTTGCCAAATGAATAAAAATCATAAAACTAACCACTGTACATCAGTACATGTAAAACTATCCATTTCACAATGTATAAAAATTATGGACGTCAACAAATATTCGAATATTCATTCGATGAGTTGATATTTGAATATAAATTTAAGATTCGAATATTTGTTTCAAAGTGTATAAGCATTTAAAAGAGAGAAAAACTTGGCATGTTTTATTAGAAACTGAATCAAGTTTGTACAAAATTAAAAGACACAGTACTTACAATTAGCTTGTATTGTTGTAAGGACACAGTTTTACAGTAAACACATGGATCCCTTGTTTATATAAGTAATAGTTATTGTATATTTATTATGGTGTATCCTGATTTATTTGGACGAAGGGCAGTGATGGGTGCGAAGCATGAGTCTCCACCCTTCATCCAAATAAATCAGGATACACCATAAAAAATATTCAATAACTTTCTTGTATCATGGCCAATCAAACATCATGTCACAAATTTTCATGCATGATTTTGTGTCAGGTGACTGCATGGATAATCTCTCCTTCCGGCCAGTATTTTTAATATATACATTTTACGTGTGTGTGTTCATAAGAAAGGACGTCGGATTGCAGCATCCCAGCTTAATGTAAATACGGATTGTTGATGAAATTCACAAGAAAACCTTTGGATATCAAAAAAGAAAAAATCAAAGTTGAAGAAGGAAAATTCAGGTGTTATTCGAAAATAACAAAAAAAATTATACCCTATGATCATTTGACATATTCGAGAGCTGTCGCATTCACGAAAATGCTGTGTCAGGGTCAAAAACTCTTCATCTGTGGATGAAGTACAGCTGCACTTTATTCTAGTTGAACACTTTACTTCAAAGAAGAAACACCTCAGCCATGATACAAATATCATTAAAAATCATTATCAGGAAATTGATTAGCCAAAATTAAATGCTTTTAATATTTCTCTGTAAGATATTTGTTTTGCTTGGTATATTTGTAGGAGTTATCATTGTATACTTTAGTAAGACAATCAATTAATCTGGAACATACTAAAAAATCTCTTGAATTTTCCCCTAAAAATCCTTACATTTTGGATGTATATACTCTTCATATAATTGGTAATTAGAAAAAAAATATTTGCGGTGCATTTATAAAACTCTACATGAGTTCTTATTCCAAAATAATGGCATAAAACCTATACTGCTTGACAGGAGAATGAAAATATATAATTATTTTTAAAAATCTAGATGTATTTATTTTATTGAATATTCGAATATATTTGAATACTCCTATCGAATGTTCGAATATCAATTACTGACGATTTTGACATTCCTAATAAAAATATTGTAAAAGCATTAAAATTGAAAATTTGCATAATTTCAACCGTGTACTTGTATTAAATTTTATCCAAGATAATAATTATTTGAGATGCCTCAACATTGTTTTTATTCATCGCATTAAAAACAGATTACTTAGTAAATAGATAAAGGGTTAATGGTTTTGTAAGTACTGCCTTAATGAATTTTGACAGTTTCGATAAATGTTTGATTGTATTTTCAGGAACTAAAGAAGAAGTATGGTGGAGATTCTTCTATAGAGAACTCCTCCTCAACTAAGATTCAGCTGAACTCTCGGACAGTGGGTGGGGGGTTTAGCTGCTGTGGCAGTTAGATGTCTGTCTGACTGTTAACTCTAGGACAGTGGGTGGGGGTTTCAGCTGCTGTGGCAGTTAAATGTCTGTCTGTCTGTCTGTCTGTCTGTCTGTCTGGTTGCTGATTAGTGGGACAGGCTCCTGCAGGCTGTTTACATGTTAATATAAAATAGTCAAGATTGTGTCAAAGAAAACCAGGATCCTTTAAGGCAAAATCAGTCTGTAATTTTTGTGAACATTGCTGTCAATTTGGATATACTGGTAATGCATTCCATTCCTTTGATTCCATTGAAAACAATTGAATTTCTTCTTCTTAGAAAGTCTATATCTGATTTATAAAAATCTACAATTTCTGGTAAAGTAATAAACAAGATGTTAACATTTGAATTGTTAACATTTTGAGAATGTTGTACTATATAAAATAGGTGCTTTACCCAGTGCTATGTATCTGGTCTATGGAATGTAGATAAGAATTATTGTATTTATCAGGAATACAGCTGGATAAGTTATTCTTATTCTATTTAAGAAATTAATAATATTAATACATGTACATATAATAATTTTATCATATCTTTTGTTGTGTTAATTGTAATTTGTTGTCAGTCATTGTGTTTTTGGATTTTGCTCTGTTTTTTTTCACCCTTATTGTACATAAAAGTTATTTCTTTTTAAAATTTAGAAGGGTACATCACCTATTTTTTTTGTAAAACTGGTTGTAGTTAATAGGAAAACTGTTTAAAATGTGCAATATTTTCTCTTATAAAATTTATGCTAAATTTCATTTATAATGTTGATGTGTGATAAAAAAATTTCTGGAAGACAAAGTAACAAATTGACCTTGATTGACCATGTTCATTGTATTCATTTTACTAAACTATACTGTTTATATAATAAGTTAATTTTAAATGTCAAGCAATGTGTAAAAATGAACTGATGAAACTAATTATTTGAGATTAACAACGCTACAAACATTTTGCTCTTAACAAAAATCACTAAATAACCATAATGAAAAACAGAAAGCTACAGCTGCAGACTGAATTAAGGACAGATGATACAAACCAATTTTTTCTTTGAAAATGATTAGATATCATTATTTGTTTGGTTTTTTTTTGTTTGATTTTTTTTTATAAAAATCACCAATAACAATAAATAAAGGCTATGTTAAATAACATTTTTACTATGGTAAAAATATTAGTGATATTACTAATTTTTTGTCATTTTGTTCCTCCTATTAAAATTCACATGGCTTGGTATATTTATACTACACTTTTAGCACCAAGGTAGTCTGAAATTTCTCATTTGAATGTGTTGTATATTTGTTTTTTTATTGAAATATTACTAAAAAGTCTATTACATTTTCCAATTCTTAGGAGAAAAAAAGGTATTTTGTCAAAGAAAAAAACATCTGTTACATTTTTTAAGACCTTAGCCATGATTTGAAGTTTAAAAACAGAAAAAGTATTTTGTAAATATGTTAACTACATTATGTATCAAAAAATCAAAACAGTACTCAAAATTTGGAATTGATCTCTAAAGTTGCCTTTACAACTCAGGGGTTTAAATAAAATATACTTTGAATGCATATGTCATTGTCATGAAAATTAATTTTGCATTTCAAAATTTATTTTAGACTTGTTAATTATATACCTGAAATTGTGAATTAAAAGTTGCTTTACCTGGTAAATTTAAAATCATATAATACCGCATTCTATTGCTAGCTTTTTTCCCCATTGTTTGCTGCTGATTTTAAGAACATTGAAAATAAAATGCTTTTAAAGTAATTTTTCCTTGCATTGAAATGTATTTTCTAGAATGTTAATTTCTTTAAATAATGTCCTTGCACTCTAGTCCTTTTTTTTTTTAAACATTTATGTTTATGATGTGTCATATGTTAACACATTTTCAATGTTTCTAAATCCAAGATTTCTGAAAATTGTGAAGAATCATACAAATATTTTCTTTTAACTAATAGAAGGAAATATCACAAACTAAAAATATGAATCCTGGTGTATGTCATATGTGGACAGGCAATGGATTTTCAAAAAATAAAAATTCTCAAGTGTGAAATGATTAAAATAATTATATAATGATTAGGGTGAGTCTTTATATGTGTTTTGTAAAAAAAAAAAAATAAATAACAGTTTTGTTAAAACAGAAATTCTTCCTTTTGTATATGTACTTTGTATTTATGGTATTGTTGATTTTTCTGTTTACCTTTTACCGGTTACCTCCTCTTTAGACCACTTTTTACAATTTGTTTTGTACCCCATTTCATGGCTCAAGATAAAATGATTAGGGTGGTAGGTAGGAGATGAAAAAATTTACCACAAATTTTCAACATCCATGCTACTTTTTTATAATCTTATAAAATAAAGATATCATTACTTTTAAAAAATAGTTACGAAAGGGAGAAAAAAAATCTGGAATGGATTTTAAAAATTATCTTGGAGAATTAATAAATTTTGGAGTCGGGTTAGTTTTTACCAGTCTGTCTAGAGGCATTTTTTTAAATTGGCTGTAATATGGTTTTGCTCTTAAGGTCTGGGGATATCTCCCTCAAATATGTTTTTATATTTCATATATATATCATTTTAATAAATTAATATTATTATCATTATCTTTTATGTTCTTATTTGAATACTGTTCAAAATGTCTTTTACAAGCACCAAAATGTTGACCATATAATGCTTTTCAATAATATTTTTTGGTAAGTTCTTTTGATTTTTTTTTTTTTGTGTGTGTGGGTACATGTCAGGAAACCTGTTAATTAAAGCTAGAATTCTTAAATGACAAATTCTTGGGAAATTTATTTGTTATTAAGGAACGTTTCGTTTGACCTTAAGAGATCTACCTGTGATTCTTTATAAGGATTTATTTGACAAATATAGTTAAAATAGACTCAATCATAGTGCTTAGGAGTAATACAGAGTATTATTTAGCATAATTAATATATTTTTCTTTATTCAGACATTATGTATTTTTGGATGGACTAAGGAAGGAAAGGACATAGATTTATTGTATACATTAGAAATTCGTAGGTTCATTCATGTTAACTTGATTTATAAGCTATACACATCAAAGCTTAAAGCTATTAAGTAACGCCAGTTATTTGAGTGAATTATTGCCTTTTTATCATTTTTTAATTAGTTTATCTGCTGTTGAGCATAATGTAACTATATTCCATATTAAATGTTTAACATTTTAAGTAGAAGTGATTTACATACAAAATTGTCCATCATTTTTACTTGACATTTATGAGTGTTTTCTGTAAAACTTAACAACATTTTAACGATATTGTGTTGTTTTGTATATTTCGGTTTTTTAAATTGTTATTCACAAGAATACAATTTTGATACATTAAAATGGGGAAAAATAAGATGGAAATTCAAATTTTCTGTAGGACCTTTAAATAACTTTCATAAAGATGTTTTGTTTTATGTCTGTGTTCTTAAAATCAGATTTGATTTATTATGTATATAATATTATGTATATAAAATGATGAAAATTTCAGTATAACAGTGTTATCAATTGGCAAAATTCATTTGTTATGATGCAGTTTTTGCGCTTTCTCTATTGTTCGTTATAAATGAATGGCTAAATCAAGTAACCAAATAAAGGTTGCGTTGTAAGTGTTTAGTTCATTAATTAGTTTAAAGTATTTGTAAATTATAAAGTTTTTTTTCATAATAAATATTGAACGATACACTAATTTATATGTTTTTTTTTCATTCTTTTCAGAATCTGACACATCTGTTTCATATTTGGATAACTTGAAAAAACGTAAATGGTAATTTAACAACCGATCTATATGATGAACATGATTACGAGGGGTGTTAGAAAAGTTCGCGGACAAGTTCAATTGTGAGCGCGCTATTTCCACGAAACCGGTCAAACTTTCCAGATAGAATCTTTACATTTTTTCCAATAAATATACAAGAAATTGTTGCTCTCCGGTGATTATTAAAAAATATACAGCTTTTTTAGTTTGATAAAACTTGCTTCACGGAGCATGCTACATTTTGGCACGTTTACATCACAAAGACTCTTTATTAAAATTAAAAATTGCACAATTGAAGCGCAAAGAGATTTATGATATTTTACCTGCCGCTACAGTATTCATGAAACGTCACTGGGAGAAATTTTGAACTAAATTGGAGGGTATATGACTGTTTTATAGCCGTTTGTATATGATCATTGCGTAAAAACACAGCCAAAAATCGGAACGTCATTGAGCGTCATGGAGCACTGCACTACGTAAAAATTATGTATGCAGACTTGAAAATGTCTAAAAAGAGATTAAAATGTTCAAGATGCTGTCGGAAATTTCCTACTCCTGCAAAGAACAAGTATTCATATGGTTGTAGCTTAAAAAAAATGGAAGGATTGACATTTTGAAAGATTAACTCCAGCGATACTTCAATACCCCCGTATCGCATGGACGTTGCGTTGCGCTTATATGGTTTTGCATAGTTTCCATACCTGATCGATTAACTGATTAACTGCATAAACTTTTTTTTAAGATCTCAATAATATCCGAATCAGTACAAAAGACATTGTAGAAGAAAAGTAACATGTCTTGATATAGATATTCAGTTTTAAAGTAGAAAAAAGATCAGAAAAATCTAAAGATTTATAGAACTGCGACAAAGCTTAACGGGTTGAAATCTGGTTGTTACGTCGCCTTACGTCAAGTGATTGCTCCGTGAATCCCATAAGCTCAGAGTAAAAATCATTGTAAATTTTCAAGATTTTATCATATGGACCTGATTTTTTACATACCAATAAACAAAATGTAGGAATTTCTTCAGATATAGGTCATACTTCACAGTACACAATAGATTTTCCGTAATTCAATGTGTCCGCGAACTTTTCTAACGACCCTCGTACTTTAACTTTTCTATCGTCAACTTCCCTTATTTATGCAGCAATATACCTTCACCACCTGCATACGGAGATTATATATCTCAGTTGATTCAATACGCAAGAGATGCTCTACGTATGAACAATTTCTAAAGCTAGGTATATTATTGACAAACAAGTTGATGAAAACAAGAATTTCAGCTGTCTTATCAAGTCATCATTTCGAAAATTCTATGGTCGACACAATGACCTTGTCAGCGAAAATACAATTTATCATTGAGTCAAATGCTGACTGACATTTTTCATACTAATTATTAATCCATTATTTTTACACTGAATTGACGACGGATTTTACCGTTATTTCCCGATCATGACAATGAGCACACAGCGGATGTGACTTATTAGCAGGGGATGCTCACTCCTCCATGGCACCTGATCACACCTCTGATGTTTTGGAGGTCTGTGTTTGCTCTGCTCCTTTTTTGTATTGTTTTATGGACTTTTGATCTCGAATACTGTTCGTATGTCCATATGTTTCATTTCAGATATTGTCATACTTTAATTTTTATATATATCATTTGATTATTTTTTTCTTTGCTTTTTTTATTTGATATTGTCCTTGGAAAATTCGTTTATAGTTTTCTTGCAACTGTTATATTGAGGGTTTTCACCTTGATAGATGATATGTTTGAAACCAAAAAAAAAAAAAAAAAAAAAACTGACAAAGGTTTTGTCCGTTGTCTGTCGTTGTCGTCGTCGTCGTAAACATTTCACATTTTCATATTCTTCTCAAGAACCATTGGGCCAATTTCAATCAAACTTGCAACAAAGTACCCTTGGGTTAATGGAATTCAAATTTGTTCAAATGAAGGTCCAAGCCCTTTTCCAAGGGGAGATAATTA